GACATAAACAGACAAAAACTCGGAGGTCCGCGCGGACCTCTGAGTTTTTGTGTTCATGTCACTCTTCGTTCCCCTACCCAGGAGCGAGGTGCGTCAAACAGCGCAAAGGCACCCTTGGCTCCCTCCCCGTCCTTTGGGGCCCCCGCCCCTCAGGACCCCACCTCTGTACCACCGACCGTCGTCTCCCCGAGGGCCCCGCACGGGACCCCCCCCCCCGGGCGGCCCCTGTTTGGGATCGAGCCTCGGGCGAACACAAAAAAAGGGGGGCTGCGGCGGGTGCGTGCCGTGTCGACCCCGGGGCTGGTCCCTGACACCGCGGGGATCGTTCAGCCTTGAACGATCGGCCGATTCCGAAACGTCAGGACAGTCAACCTCGACCGATTCTGGGCCGCCGGCGGCGTTCAACGTTGAACGCTGGCGGCAGGGTCGCCGCGGGTCGACACGACGCGAACCTGCTGTACGCGTTTCTCCCAAAAGGGGCTTTTCGGAACAAGTTGCCTGCGGTGTGGCAGCGAGCGAGTATCGTCGACGATGGGAGTAGAGGCGAAGCGGAGAGATCCAGCGCACACTGGGGGGGTAAAAAAACAGTGAGGGGTTCAACAACAAAACAAGTCTGCACACTTGATCCCGCCTGCGCAGCCAGGTTTTCAGAGCCCGCGCGACATCTTCGGGGCAGGAACGGTTGCAGACCCGTTGGTTTTAGGAGGCAACTTCAAGAAAACCTTCGCCAAAACGATTCAATGGCGATTGGGCTCGACTAAAAGTGCCGCTCGGCCGGAAGAGGCTGGATTCAGCTTGGGAATGAGCCAGATTGTTCGGGAATGCACCGGCTTGAATCCGCTCTCAGCGAGGTTAACCCAGATTGGGCTGGTATTCGACCAGGGATATACCAGCGCCGATTCTGAAACTTACCTCCCAGGAGTTGCATCCCATCGGACCTGTTGATTGTAATGATCTGGCAGCTGCTGATCTGTTGATTGTAAATTTCTGGCAGTTGCAGACTCTTCGGACGTCTGCTGATCGGTTGATTTAGCGATGCGGGAAGCACTTGGGAGAAGGATGTGCGGGGGCAACGTGCTGCGGATCGGAGGTCTTGCGGGGTGAGGCCACCGTGGAGCGGAGTCCCCAAATCGAGAATTCGGCTTCAGTTTCAGCCGTTTCGTGCAGACTCTCGCTCCGCGACGGCTTCGCTCAGGGCGTGATCGGTGCAGATCTGGCTGGCCCGAACGGGTAATTCATGCCATGTGCGCCACCGCCACGAGAGAGCACAAAAGTCAAAACCGAAGGTCCAACCCCCCAACCTGAAGCCCCGGGAGGCTGCGTGGCGGAGGCAACAACAGCCGCAGCCCCGCAGACGCTGTCCAGGGCGCTCGACGGGCGAGCACCCTCGCGGCTTTCCTGGCGCGGGCGGCGTCCACCTTCTGCCTGGTGAGGGGGGGCGGATCGTCGGTCAGACAGGGTGGAAAAGGGGGGGGGTAATAACCTGTTATATATAGAGTATATATATATAAGAAAGAGAAAACGAAGAAATAACAAGACATATATATATATATATATATATATAAGAAAGAGAATGGGGCACGGTTCGTCGCATCCCGTGAGGGGAGGGCGGACCCCCTGGCACCAGAGGGTACCAGGGCCGAGCAGAAGCTCCCACCGGGATCTCGCCTCCCTCCGCACGCGGAGAAGGCCGAAGCCAGAGGGGGCCCCAGGGAGTCCGTCCACCCCGACGCCTCCCCGAGCCGCAAAGCGCTCCTGCCGAGAAACTTCAGAAAAAAAAACACTACCCGATGAACCCCTGGAACCCCGCAATATGCATACGAAGCAGTAGACGAAGATTTCCAGCACCATCCCGCTGCCACCCATACGCGGCCGAACCTCACGGCGTACTCCAATTCTGGCGACTCGGCACTCCCTACGAAGAAGACCCCCGACGAATCCACCCCGAAGCGTTTGTAGATCACCAGGACAACGCCAAACCACAAACCAGTGACTGGTGCCATTCGAAGACCTTCGAAAACATTAAGATTCGCAGTCACCACCTCCACCCTGATGAAGAGAACCACGGAGAACATCAGCCGCTGGGCGCCCTCCCCGAGAGTCACCTCGACCACGACATCGAGGCCCTCGAAAATTACGCTACCGAGGAACCCCACATACTTATATTATGGCTGGAGTGATGATAGCTGGAGTGAAGCATGTGAGAATGACGTTGGTGGCCGTTGCCCCGCCGATACCGTCGGTGACGCCACTCAAGAGGAGAGGTGGAAGAGGAGAAGCGCCGCCCCAGCCACACTTTGCGAGCCCGAAACAGATAGCGACCGCACTCCCAAGGCACCCCCTTGTGGCGTCGAGAAAGTGCCACGCCTGCTATGCCCTGGGCGACTCTCGTGCATAGCGGCCGCGCTCAGGGACCACCCCCTGCGCACCCCTTGTGGCGTCGAGAAAGTGCCACGCCTGGAATGCCTGAACGACCGTCGTGGGTAGCGGCCGAGCTCAGGGACCACCCCCTGCGCACCCCCTCTGGTGTCGAGAAAGTGCCACGCCTGCTATGCCTGGACGGCCGTCGTGCATAGCGGCCGAGCTCAGGGACCACCCCCTGCGCACCCCCTCTGGTGTCGAGACAGTGCCACGCCTGCTGTGCCTGGACGGCCATCGTGCATAGCGGCCGCGCCCAGGGACCACCCCCTGCGCACCCCCTCTGGTGTCGAGAAAGTGCCACGCCTGCTGTGCCTGGACGACCGTCGTGCATGGCGGCCGAGCTCATGGACCACCCCCTGCGCACCCCCTTATGGTGTCGAGAAAGTGCCACGCCTGCTATGCCTGGGCGACCGTCGTGCATAGCAGCCGAGCTCAGGGACCACCCCCTGCACACCCCCTCTGGTGTCGAGAACGTGCCACGCCTGCTGTGCCTGGACGACCGTCGTGCATAGCGGCCGAGCTCAGGGACCACCCCCTGCGCACCCCCTCTGGTGTCGAGAAAGTGCCATGCCTGCTGTGCTTGGACGACCGTCGTGCATAGCGGCCGCGCCCAGGGACCACCCCCTGCGCACCCCCTATGGTGTCGAGAAAGTGCCACGCCTGCTGTGCCTGGACGACCGTCGTGCATAGCGGCCGAGCTCAGGGACCACCCCCTGCGCACCCCCTGTGGTGTCGAGAAAGTGCCACGCCTGCTGTGCCTGGACGACCGTCGTGCATAGCGGCCGCGCTCAGGGACCACCCCCTGCGCACCCCCTGTGGTGTCGAGAAAGTGCCACGCCTGCTATGCCTGGACGACCGTCGTGCATAGCGGCCGAGCTCAGGGACCACCCCCTGCGCACCCCCTGTGGTGTCGAGAAAGTGCCACGCCTGCTATGCCTGGACGACCGTCGTGCATAGCGGCCGCTCAGGGACCACCCCCTGCGCACCCCCTGGTGTCGAGAAAGTGCCACGCCTGCTATGCCTGGACGACAGCGGCCGCGCTCAGGGACCACCCCCTGCGCACCCCCTATGGTGTCGAGAAAGTGCCACGCCTGCTGTGCCTGGACGACCGTCGTGCATAGCGGCCGAGCTCAGGGACCACCCCCTGCGCACCCCCTCTGGTGTCGAGAAAGTGCCACGCCTGCTGTGCCTGGACGACCGTCGTGCATAGCGGCCGCCACCCCCTGCGCACCCCCTCAGTGCCCTCGTGCATAGCCCCGCGCTGTCCCACCCTGCCTGCGCACCACCCCCTGCGCTGGTGTCGAGAAATGCCACGCCTGCTGTGCCTGGACGACCGTCGTGCATAGCGGCCGAGCTCAGGGACCACCCCCTGCGCACCCCCATGGTGTCGAGAAAGTGCCACGCCTGCTGTGCCTGGACAACCGTCGTGCATGGCGGCCGAGCTCAGGGACCACCCCCTGCGCACCCCCTGTGGTGTCGAGAAAGTGCCACCCCTGTCACGCTCTGCCGTGCCGTTTCCTGCGCGCCTGCCCTGTGTGCTATGCTGTGCTGAGCTGTGCTGCGATGTGCTGTGCTGTGCCGTGCCGTGCTGTGCTGCGGTGTGCTGTACTGTGCTATGCTGTGCTGTGCTGTGCAGGTGTGCTGTGCAAAACTGCCACGCCTGCTGTGCCGTGGACGACCCCTATGGCGTCGAGAATGTGCCGCACGTGCCAAGCCGTATGTGTGTGTGTGTGTGTGTGTGCTGTGCTGTGCTGTGCTGTGCTGTGCTGTGCTGTGCTGTGCTGTGTGCGCTGCGCTGTGATGTGCTGTGCTGTGCTGTGCTGTGCTGCGCTGCGCTGCGCTGCGCTGTGCTGTGTGCGTGAGGAGGAGGAGGGGGAGGAGGAGGAGGTGGGGAGGAGGGCGGGTGTGGGTGAGACGCGGGTGCGGCGCGGGTGGGAAGAAAACCAGAACCCCAGGAAGCATGTGGGGAACAACCAAGCCTGGAATGATCCGATGCAGCTAAGGCTTGGCCAGTCTGCGCCCCTTCGACTTGCGCTCTGCCAAGCTCGAACTCTAGAGGCGAAAGGGCTAGTGGGGGGAGGAGGAAGCTTGGAGCGAGGGGGGGGGGGAACGGAGAGTGACAGAGAGGCCCGCGAGTGCGGAAGATCTTTCTCGACGTCTTCCTCCTCGGCAGCAACCTCGACCTAGCTGGAGGGGGCTGGGTCAACAAAAATCATGGGACTGGGAGGGAACCTGGATAACGGGTGACTTCGCAGCACCAAATCACTCTCTCTCTCTCGGGGTTAACTTTTTGCGGCCCTGACGGCGACTGTGAGCGAAGTCGTGAGCCTTCACGAACTTAAGGGCAGAAATCCGCTGTCGTGCAGAAGGGAAGATGACGAAGAAGGGACGGGGGGGGAGGAAGAAGGGGGTGGATCAAGTCTCAGACAAGGCATCAACATATACTTTTGGCGCTCCGCACGGATTTTTGGGATCCGCGCTGGGCCCCCCTCCCTGGGGTGCGGAGCGCGCCAGGGGCGGCGCCGGAGGCACTGCCGGGGCGGCCCAAGAGAGGATGAGGGGGGTGGATCAACTTTTTACGTGGCGAAATCGTCCCAACCGCAATAGGCGCCAACGGGCAGGTCGCACAGCCCGTACTGCGACGCGCGGGCCACGAACCGGGGCTCCACCGGGGCGCCGGCGTCGGGCGGCGAGAGCGGGGAGGTGCACAGCAGCAGGCAACTCACGTCGTCGCAGTACAGGCCGCCCTGGATCGTGTCCCAGCGTTGCTGCCGTGGTGTGCGGGCCACCCGGAGGGCAGGGGGGGGGAGGAGGAGGAGAAGGAGGAGGAGAAGGAGGAAGAGGAGGAGGAGGAGGAAGAGGAGGAAAAGGAGGAGGAGGAGGAGGAGGAGGAGGAGGAGGAGGAGGAGAGGAGAGGAGGAGGAGGAGGAGGATGGAGGATGGGGGATGGGGGTGTGGGGAACCCAAACATACGTCGCCCAACAGGAGCCATCCCTACATCGGCGGGCTCGCGCTGCGGTCTGGGGTGCCCCCTGGCCTCTGGGCATGAAGGCTGCTTGGCTGCCACCGCGCCGGGCGAAGCGCGGCCGCCCCCCCCCTCAGCGAGAAGAACACCTCGAGAGGAAAGATATCACACCAGAGGAAAAACCCAATCAGTGGATGGTTTGAAATGGGATCGATAAAGAGATCGATAAGGATATCGACAGGGAACCCGGGAACCCGGAATTGCCAAATCTTTCAATTTCCACTAGGACCCCTTCGGTGCAAGCACTGCTTGGGGAAAGACTGCAGACGCATAGACTTTCGGAGCTCCGCCGCACCATTTCTCGGATCGCGTGACCCCCCTCCCCTGGCGCGCGGACCGCGCAGGGTGCAGTGCCAGAGGCGCCGCCAGGGGGGCCAGCGCCGACCTAAGATCTACGCGCGGAGCTCCGGAAATTTGTTTTGTCCTGCCACTTTTCCTTGTTCGAAGTCACCCGCCTTCGCGCTTCGCGCCACGCGCAGCGCGATATCATGGGGGGGCGGTAACTGGAAGAAGGGGGGGCCGGGCACAAAAGGTGTACCTGTCTTCAACCCTCCACCGATCGCTCCAAAATTTGGCAACGCCCGACCCCGAAGAGAAGACCACCTTTCCGGCCCAGACCTGAGGAGGAACGTTTGGGGGGGCCCGCTCAGGGGGGGGAAGCGTCGACCTGGAATCGGCGATACATCACCGATTGATCGGCCATAGGCTCCCGATGGCGACTCTGAAAGGTCCTGGGCGGTGTGGGCTATGAATTCCTTATCGACGAGCAATGGGCGATCGGGAGTCGACGTATCCCTCCTAAACGTGCCCCCCTTATTCCTACAATTATATATGTCGCTTCGTTCGTTCCGTGTGGCAGTTGTCGACGATGCCGCCGCTAATTTAAACAATGCGAGAATTGCCGCCGCACCGAGGAGAATCGACTTCAGTGTCTCGCGAACATGGCATTCTGGGGGAGGCACCGCCGCCAGGTATTGAGGACTGGCTCTCTTCGTTAAGCAGGGACCGACTGTCCTGGCATTCCCAGAGGCCTACCACGAGATGTTCTTAGAACCCCCAAATGCACTCAGAACAAAAACAGGGCTCTTAGGACATGGACCCGAGATGCACCAAAGCCAGAAAAGCTTCTCAGAACACTTCGTCGAAACCTCAAGAGGTTCTTAGCACATTGCTTGGTGGGCCCATGGGCACGCCAGGACGCTTCGCCAGTGCTTGACTTCGCGCCGCCAACCCTTTCGGTGATGCGGCTGCTCCCCGGGGCGCCCCCCGGGGCCCCCCTGGGGTGCCCCAGCCCACCGCGGCGCTCCTGCGCCCGCCGCACCAGGTCCTCGGCGCAAGCGGCGCAGCCGTCGGCGGCCAAGCGGGCCCGCAGGGTCACCTCGAGGAGCATCAGGCGGCGGACACAACCCTGAGATCCTGGCGACTCATTTTTCTGGATGAGCCAAGCGTTTTCGCTCAACGTCGGGCCCTGGGGCCTTCACAGATCGATCCAGTTCGAAAACTGACGCAGAAACATAGGGTCTAGGGCACCGGGCGTGATGTTTAACGATGTTGCATGTTTCGCTACGTCGGATCTCAGGGAAGGTGGTAGGGTCTCAGAAGGCACTGGCCTTTCACACACAGACACAGACACAGACCCAGACACACACACACACATCTACACATATATATATATATATATATTATGTATGTACATACACACATATACATATACGTATATATATATATATATATATATGTATCTATGTATATGTATGTATGTGTGTACATATATATATATATATATATATATATATATTCCTCTTCCTATATTTTTGTAAGCCCGGGCGGGGGGGGAAACCCATCCCCCTCCCAAAACCGGACTCCCGGGATCTGGGGCTTTGGGACCCTCCAGACGGGCCTCGAAGCGGCCCCCGGGCCTCACATGGCGCTTTGCCAAGCCTTCCCAGAACACCTAGGGCGATCAGGGGGGTCATCGGAGACGTCCCAGAGACCCCCAAGAGCGCTCCAAGAGTGACCGACGTGACCTCAAGATGGCCCAAGAGGCCTCCAGGACGGCCCCAAAGAGGCCTCCAAGAGCACTCCCAAGAAGGCCCCCCGAGGCAAGAATCATTGATTTTCTGTTGTTTTTTTGGTGAATTTTAGGGTTCTCCTCTTTTCGGCTTCCCGACGCTCCAAGACGGCGGTCTTCTGGGCGTCCGAAGCCGCCTGGGAGGCTCCACAATCGCCCCGAACCATCCGAAGGGGCTTCCAGGCAGTCCAAGAGAGCCCCAAAACGGCACAACACGGGTCCAAGATGGCCCTCAGAGAGCCCCATGGCGGCCCAAGATGGCCCAAAGACACCCTCCGAAGAATTCCAAATCGTGATTCGGTCGTTCAGGGAGACCGCGGTTGGAGGCAGGGTGGCCCGAGGAAGCCCCCGGAGGCCCCCAGAATACGCCCAGGAGGTCTCCAGAAGGCCTTAAGAAAGCCTGAAAAAAACTTTTGCAAGGCCCCTAGAGGCTCTCCAAAGAGGGGCCTCCGCAATAAAAAGCTGAGGAGGATGTGGAGAATGCGCAGGGCATGGCGAAAATAAGGAAAAAGAAACATGGAGGAAGGATAACGAATAACATTATCATAACGGCGATGCCAGAAAAGGCAACCAGGAACTATCGCTAAGTTGTCGGCTTGACCATCTATATATATATATATATATATGTATATATATATATATATACAAGACTGCAGTGGCGCTTCGCGCCATGCACCTTGGTCCTTGAAGTTTGGTATGCAGGCGGAATAGCAGGAAAATCAAACCGACAATTTAGCGATAAGTCCTAGTTGCCTTTTTTGGCATCGCCGCTCTAACAATGTCATTCGTTATCCTTCCTCCATGCTTATTCTTCTTCCTTATTTTCGCCATACCCTGCGCATTCTCCACATCCTCCTCAGCTCTTTTTTTGCGGAGGCTCCTCCTTAGAGAGCCTCTAGGGGCCTCACAAAAGTTTTTTTCAGGCTTTCTTAAGGCCTTCTGGAGGCCTCCTGGGCGTATTCTGGGGGCCTCCGGGGGCTTCCCCGGGCCACCCTGCCTCCAACCGCGGTCTCCCTGAACGACCGAATCACGATTTGGAATTCTTCGGAGGGTGTCTTTGGGCCATCTTGGGCCGCCATGGGGCTCTCTGAGGGCCATCTTGGACCCGTGTTGTGCCGTTTTGGGGCTCTCTTGGACTGCCTGGAAGCCCCTTCGGATGGTTTGGGGCGATTGTGGAGCCTCCCAGGCGGCTTCGGACGCCCAGAAGACCACCGTCTTGGAGCGTCGGGAAGCCGAAAAGAGGAAAACCCCCAAATTCACCAAAAACCGACAGAAAATCAATGATTCTTGCCTCGGAGGGCCTTCTTGGGAGTGCTCTTGGAGGCTTCTTTGGGGCCGTCCTGGAGGCCTCTTGGGCCATCTTGAGGTCACGTCGGTCACTCTTGGAGCGCTCTTGTGCTGTCTTGGGGGTCTCTGGGACGTCTCCGATGACCCCCCTGATCGCCCTAGGTGTGCTAGGAAGGCTTGGCAAAGCGCCCTTCGAGGCCCGGTGGCCGCTTCGAGGCCCGTCCGGAGGGTCCCAAAGCCCCAGATCCCGGGAGTCCGGTTTTGGGGGGGGGACGGGTTTTCTCCCCGCCTGGGCTTATAAAAATATAGGAAGAGGAATATAGGTCGGTAGGTAGGTGGATATGCATGTGTGCATATGTATATATATATATATATATATATATATATATATATATGTATATGTATATGTGCTAGAACCACCGCGCGCACTTCGCGCGCGCTTGGGTTCTAGCTGGTCGAGTGCTGACCGCATTGAGACAACAAGGCGATCATGAATCATGAGGTCAACATTCTCTGTTTGCTCCTGCCTCTTCCTTATTCCTCCTCCTCCGCTCTCATCGACGGGTCGACCGGTGATCTGTCGCCAAGCTTCCTGGGGACCTCTTAACCCTCCTGGGGGTCGTCTGGGGCGAAGATCGCGGGTTCTCGGTTCACGTTCCCGATAGTGGCCTTCGGCCCATCCCGCCACCGTGCCTGGGGGCTCTTGGAAATTCGTTTGAAATTCGTGGGAAGCTTCCCAGGGGCCTCTTCAAGGCAGTTTTGGGGGCCTCTTGAGAGCCGTTTGGGGTGCTCGGGGGGCGTCTTTTGGGGCCCCTTTGGGTCCTCGTGGGGCCTCTAGGGCGCCTCATTGGGCTCTGTTGGGGGCCTCTTGGGGCCTCCTGGAGGCCTCTTGGGGCGGAAGGCTCGAATTGTCGGTTCGTGTTCCCCCTCTTGGGCCCCTCTTGAGGCCGTCTTGGGGCCCTCTTTGGCGATCTTGGACGCCTTTTGGACCGTCTTGGGCACTCTTGGGCCGTCTTGGGACTCTCTTGCGCCGTCGTGGCGCCCTCTTTGGGTGCCTCTTGGACCGTCTTGAGTTGATTTCTGAGGCCTTGTGGGCTGTCTTGGACCGTCGGAAGCACGAAACAGCGAGAACACGAAAAACCTTCGAACATCATAGAAACAAGCTACTTTATTCGCCTCCTGAGTGCCTCATGGGAACCCTTTTGATGGCATCTTGGCAATCTTGAAGCCCTCTTGGGCTGCATTCAAGCCATGTGTGACCAATTTTGAAACGCTCTTGTGCGGTCTTGGGCTCTCTTGGAGCGCTTTAAGGCCAATTGGCGCCCTCTTGGACGTCTCTCGGACCCCTTTGACGTTTTTTGGCGCCCCCCGCCGGGCCCAAAACGGCCGGAAGACACAACGGTGCACTTCGGGGGGCCCGGGACCCCCCTTTTCTATGTGTGTATATACACACACACACACACGCCTACATACATATATCTGAAGCTACGTAGACAGGGCCCGCGCCCTCTGAGAGGAAGGGGTACTCCGAAGGAGCCCTTGCCCCACTTTCCCCCATACACCCCCCTCTGCGCGTTGGCCGATGACCCGCCACCCCGGCAGAGCGCCCTCGAGAGCGGACGGGAGCGCAGAGGCCCAGAGCTCCGACCACGTGCTTTTTGTCCTCTGGCGTTTGTTTTTTTTTTTTTTTTTTTTTTTTTTTTTTTTTTTTTCTTTTTTGTTGTTTGTGTTTTTTTGTTTTTCATTTTTTTTTGTGTTTTTTTTTTCCGAGGTTTCGGCCCTCGGGGGCCGTGTTCGGGGCCCGGGACCATCGGGCACGGATCCGGGACGAATGAGCTGCCCCACGTGCAGGGAATCGGTCGGGACCTCTGGGGGTGCGGATGGAAATTGCACCAACGAAGCACCCTGACAGCACCAACGGTGAAGGGGCGCGTCGAGGAGTAGGAGATCGGCCAGTGAACACGTGCAATCCGATGGATTCGTAGGAAACCAACCAAGTGCGGTAGGATATTTACATCAGAAGGGTACGCGGGGGTAGAGTTCAGGCAACACGAAGAGCGGGAGGTGCGGTAGAGTGTGCTCTTTTGTATGAGAATCGTACGCGGGAGTTGAATTCAAGCAACACGACGAGCAGGCATAACGCGTAGAGCACGTCAATGTGCACCTTAGTGGATCGAGGCGAGGGAACGGTTACTAAGTAAATGGTTGGGAAGTCTCAGGCGCAACCGATGCTGGACTGGACGCTTGACTGGCCCCCCGGGACTCTTCTGTGGTTCTTCCTTGCCTCTATGAGAACCCTCTAGCGATGCGCTCTCAGGGACCAAGCCAGCATACGCAGCATACATACACACTTTCGGAAGTTCGCGCGGATCTCTTGGATCAGCGCTGGACTCCCCTCCCTGGCGCGCGGAGCGCACCAATCGGCTACACGCAAGAGTGACCCTGGGTAAGAGTGACCTTTGGTGCGCGGCTTTTGGGGGGCCGCGAGTGGGCCAAACACAGGCGCGCAAGACGCCAGTGCCGCCTCGCGTTCGGCGATCGGGGGACCCCATTTGGCCCGCACCAAAGGTCACTCCGGCGAAAGGTTACTCTCACGTCTAGTCGAACCAAGGGTCGGGCGGCGCCGGGGGGCGCCGCCCGGCCCCTGGTGCGGAGGAGGAGGGCGCCGCCCGGGAGGAGTGGGCTCAGCGCAGATCCGAAAGATCCGCTCGGAACTCCGCACGCTTTATGGCGACTCCTCGGTCACCGACAGTAGGGCGGGGGGCAGGTAGTCGAAGAGCCCGTCGCTGCCCAGCAGGACGCACGGCTGCCTCGGCAGGGCACACCGGTGCAGCGACGGCCTCGCCACGACGCCGTGCCTCTTGACGCAGAGGTCCCCGAAGGAGCGGCTGATCCGCCCGTGCCCCGCTGGCACGTCCGGGCTGCGGGGGTCACCCAGCGTCGCGCTTCGCGCCCCGCGGTGCGCGACGCGCGCTCGACTTCGCGCCCTCGCGCTGCCCCGCTGGAGGAGGGCTGCCGCGCTGGCCAGACGCTGCGGCGTGCGAAGTGCCTCCGCGTCCCCTCCGGGTGACCAAGGGCAGTGATCGGAAGCGACAAGTCGGGGCGGATGCCCCATGGACGGGCAACGCGTGCATCCAAGGGGCACCGAAGGTCCATGTCTTCGGCGAGGCGCCCAGAAGGATATCCTGATGAGATCTGTCGGCGCGAAAAACAAGGCAGCTTCTCGACAAACTACGACTAGGGTCTCGGACCCCACCCTTGCTGCGCCATTCGTCAGGGTAGGTCGATCTGTGATGGCCCTGCGGCCCTGAGACGGGCGAAAACGCCTGGTCTACGCCCAGATCTGAGGGTGCCCGTCGGTCGGAAGAAGCCACGAGAAGCATGCAGGTGAGCGTTTTCTTAACCGTCGTTTCGACATTGGGCGGAAAAGGGGGGGGGTCTGGCTCCGGACCTCTGCTTAGTGCGACTGCTTGCAGCAGTGGGTCCTAGGAAAGGGGGACTCCACCTGCTCGACGACTACTCTCGGCGCCGAGTGGGGGGGAAGTGAAAAAGGGAAAAGCCTTCTCAGAAACTTGAAGCTTCCCCTGACCTTCCACGGGGCAGAAAATTAACACCAGGACGTCGACGTCTGAATTCCTGTCGAGGCTTGAAGCAGTCCCGATCGATCTAAAGGTCTGGAGGGATATGTTTCAGCACTTTGGAAGGTCAGTGTCGAAGTCCCCCAGCCTTCGGAGAAGTTTTCTGAGCCTCCACCGAGAACAAAACAAACTTCTCACAGGGCGCGAGGGCCTCTGAAAAGTCAGCCGCCTTGTGAAAAAACCTTCTCCTTATCCTTCCCCCCCTGGCGCGCAGCCGGATAGGGTCTTTGGGTCATAACTCGGGTCTCTGGCGGCCGTTCGGGACGATCCGGGCACCCCCGGAACGCTTTCAGCGAGGCGCAGCTGCTGGCACGCATCCCGAGGCTGGAAAACCGCCGAGAGCCAACGAAAGCGCCCGAAAACCTCGAACCTCGAACTTCGAGCTTCCCCCCCTCGCTGGCCGCCGATACTCGGCGATCCGAGACGGTGGCTTTCGCGGACCCCTGGCGCGGCCACGCCGTGCGCGGGAGGGCGCCGCGCGCGCGGGCCGGCGCGGGCAGCCTGCGGGCGAGAGCTGGCCGCGTGCCCTTGCGCCGCCCAGGTGGCCGACTGGCCTCGCGGAGCTTCTCTGCACAAGCCTTGCGCTCCCTCGGGGAGGGGCCGAACCCTCCGGCCAAACCGCGTCTTTTTGACGAGTCGTCGGCCTCAGGGGGGTCCAGCGGAGTGTAGTTGTCCGCGGACCCAGCCGAGACCTCGCGGTTCCTTGGGTGGCTGCGAACTGTCGCACATGTCGCGCAGGGGAGGTCCAGCGGAGTGGAGTTGTACGCGGGGTCAGCCGAGACCTCGTGGCTCCCTGGGCGGCTGCGAACTGCGCAACTGTCACCCCGTTCGTGGGCTCCTGGGAGGTCCTGCGGCGTGGGGTTGTACGGGCACCCAGCCGAGACCTGGCGGCTCCCTTGGTGGCTGCGAACTGTGGCAAGTGTCGCCACTTTCGTGGGCTCCTGGGAGGTTCAGCGGAGTGGAGTTGTACGCGGACCCAGCCGAGACCTCGCGGCTCTCTGTATGGCTGCAGACTGCGCAACTGTCGCTACATTCGTCGGCTCCTGGGAGACACGGCGGAGGTGAAGGCAGCGGGGATCCCTTTGAGACCTCGTGGCTCTGTTAGGGGCTGCGAACTGCGCAACTGTTGCGAATTCTGTGGGCTCCTGGCAGGCACGGCGGAAGTGGGGACAGCGCAGGTCACTTCGAGACCTCGCGGCACCGTCGGGGGCTGCGGATTGCGCAACTGTAGCCACTTTCGAAGGCTCCTGAGGGGCACGAAGGAGGTGAGGGCAACGCAGATTTATGTGAGACCTCGCGGCGACCTCGGGGGGCTGCGAACTGGCGCAACTGGCGCAACTGCCTCCGCTTTCGTGGGCTCCTGGGAGGCACGGCGGAGGCGAGGGCAACGCAAATCACTTCCGAAGCCTCGCGGCTCCGTCGGGGGCTGCGGACTGCGCAACCGTGACCACTTTCGTTGGTTTCCGGGAGGCGCGGCGGAGGTGAGGGCAGGGGGAGCACTTTGAGACCTCGCGGCGCCCTCGGGGGGCTGCGAACTGCGCAACTGCCGCAACTTCCGTTGGCTCCTGGGAGGTCCAGCGGAGTGGAAATGTACGCGGGCCCAGCCAAGATCTCGCGGCTCTCTGTGTGGCTGCAGACTGCGCAACTGCCGCCACTGTCGTGAACTTCTGGGAGGCACGGCGGAGTGCAGGGTGGCGCAGATCGCGCAAAGTTGGCGATGCGCTTTTGTTGCATGGGGCGTTCATACAGAGATTCGCCTCGCGTGGAGTAGGGTTTGGGCACGTCTCGGGCAATTTGTTCTTTCTGGTAGTGATCGTTACCCCAGGGGGGGGGTGGGTCGGCTTCGGGGGGGCACGGGCCGGGTGGGGCACGTCGGGGTGGGGGTGCGCTGCGATCGCCAACGTATGCGCGCGAACACCATGATGTGGGGTGGGGGTCCAGCCCTGCCCCCCGCTACGTATCGTCGTCACCGTTACCCCGGGGGGAGGGAGGTCGCCAAGGTACCGACCGTTACGCGCCAGATAACAAAGCAAATGATCTGGCGCGAAGGTAATGTGGTCGTCGATCTGAGGCTTGTGAGAGTCTCGTGGGGGGCCTCTTGGGGGCCTCTCGGAGGCTTCTTGAAGATCTCTTGGAGCCTCCCAAGGGTTTCTGGTGACGTCTGTGCCGTCTCGTCCTTAGCGCGATTTCGAAAGCTTTGGGGAGACTCTTGAGGCCATTTTGGAGGGCTCGGGGCTGTCTTCGCGGCCTTTTTAAAGCCGACTTGGGGTGTACATTCGTAACGTCGAAGGTCAGATTTATACTTGGCTTCCGGGCTGATTTTTCAGCTCGATGTTAAAACAACTTGGGTCTCTAGAGTCGCCGCACATTGGCTGCCCAAACCGGCCGGCAGTGGACGAACATCGATCCCGATGATGGTAATGTATCTCTCCGCTCTTCTTGCCCATCTTGAAGCGACGTTTGCCGATTATCAGGCCCCAGTGCGACTGAGAATCGAGCGACGTGCTAACACGCAATATTACTCCAAAAGCACGCGCAATTGTTGCCTAGAGCAATCCGTCACCCTTGTAGACGATACGAGGCCTCCAGAAAAGCCTAAGACATCCCCCAAACAGCCACCGGTGAAACCCCATGGCGACTCCAAGACGGAGCAACGGCTTCAAAGACAGCCCAAGGCCGATTGACCTCCCCTGACGGCCGACAAATCCTCCGATATTGCTTGGAGACTACTTAGAAGCACACGTCACTACGTCCTTCTTGAACTTTGGGGAAAGAGTTTTCGCATGTCACGGCCTCCTTTACACTGGAGGTGAGCAGTATACCACTTCGCCTCTTTAGGATATGGGGAGCAGAGGTGTCACGTGTTGCGAACGGGTCAATACGAAGACAACTATCGCATGTAACGACGATGTCGAGTCTGCCGAATATCGTGGCACATATCCAACACCTGTCGCATGCTACAGTCTCCTGGGCGGTTCTCGAATGGCCGCCACATTGGGCGCTGCGCTGGCACTGTGGCGGAACTTGCTGCAAACTTCTGTATATTGAGGCCATAGCTCCTCGAGGGCCCGTACACCCGCGAAGTGACGCGTTTCCGCCACGCCGGCTTCCCGAGGGTCACATGCCCGCCGGCGGCCAGAATGCGCGCCTGCTCGGCCGAGTGGTGCGGCTTGTGCACGTCGGTCTCCCAGAATCCAGGGCCGGCGCAGTCGAACACCATGCCCTGATCGGAGCAGGGCGCGTTGAGACAACAGCACCGCGCAATTGGTCCCTGGACCCCTCCTGGGGCCCAGACGCATCACCTTTCCGAGCTGCGCCCAGCCGTGGTGACGAGTCGTGCGTTGGCAGAACTGGGTTTAGTGGGACCTGGCTTAGTGATGTGTACTGGGGGACGCCCCCCCGCCCCGTTCCACTAACCGGAGCTGCCGTCTCCCGAAAGAACACGAGCTACGGCAGACCTGGTTTGGTGATTCTGGCCACTCTGGGGGCTCCAAGGCCACCTTACCTGGGGTCCTGGCTATACCCGAACGAGGGCCCCCCCCCCGAAGGCCAACTGCAGCAGTCTCGACTCGCCCTCCTCTGACCTGACAGTCGCCGCAGGCGGCAAAGTACGCCAGCCCCTCGCCAGGCAGCAGCACCGCCACCACCGCCGTGGCCCCCGAGCGCTCCACGTCCAGGCCGGCGGCAGCCGCTGCGCCCTCCAGCTGTGCGTCCGCCTCCGCGAACGCGGCCTCCAGCGCCGCGTGCGCGCCCGCGGAGTCCAGGGCGGCCGCCACGAGGCCCAGCAGGGCGTCGCAGAGCCACTCCGCGCACCACTGCCCATGGTCGCCGTGTCCGTCGGCCACGGCGGCCATCCACCGGCCCCCCTGATCACACCACGCGGCGGCGGAGTCCTGCCGGCATCGAGGGCAGAGGGTCCTGGACACCGGGGGCCTTTCCGCGGATCCAGATCTCTCAGGAAGAGCTGGCTCCGCGGAAAGGCCCCTCAGGAGGAATCCTCCTGAGTGGCCTTCTGACGGCTCCCCGGGCCAGTGGGGGGCCCTCAGGGGGCCCGAACGGGCCCAAAAAGCTTAATAAACGAATGATTCAGAATTAATTCGCTAACCAAAGAATTCAGCAAATTGAATACTTACCTAATGAATTCAGTAATGAATTAAGTCATGAATACATTCGTCACTTGATTAATCAGTTAATGAAGTGGTTGATCAATCAGTCCATGAGTTCGTTGAATCATGTCCGTGCCCCTGCTCACGCCCTGACCCCACGAGGGCCCAGAGCGGCGGCAGGGATCAAACATCCGGCCTCCAGAGAGCCTCGTTTTTATCCACGCCGTGGCCCCCGCGGCGCTCAGAGGTGGTGGGCAGCAGCAGGCCCTGGGATCTTGGCGTTGCATTTTTTTCACACTGGGCGTTTTCGCTCCACTTCGGGCCCTGGGACCCTCGCAGATCGATCCGGCTAGAAAAATGACGCAGAGAGGCGGGGTCTGGAGCTTCGGACGTGTTCTGCTTGCGATGTTGCACTTCTTTCTGTAACGGCGGATCTCAGGGGGAGTCTACGGATCGAACGCCGGCTCGTTGACAGGACCCGTCTCCCTCAGGACACGCTTCCTCCAGGGCGGGTCCCAGGAGAGCCCAGAATCGATTTGACAAGTCAGATCGGTGGTCGAAGTGAATCGGATCGGCGGATCTCGGCAGCCGAGTCGGGAAAAGTCGAATCGGCGGAAATCGGCAGACTCGCATGCGCCTAACAGGACATCGGAACCCAAACCGGAATCCCAAGCCGCATCGGATCGGAATCGGCAGCCATCGGCATCGAATCGCCTCGACTCGGAGGAGTCGACATGAGCCCCGGAGTCCTGGTTGCGGACCTGGCCCCAGCGCCCCGGCTTCAGCCCCGCCGCCGACGCCGCGGCGGCCGCGGCCCCTGGCGGGGGTTCCCCGCGCTGCTCCACGCCGCCGGTGGCCAGCGGCCGCGACCTGCCGCCGGCAGTGCGCAGCTCGAAGAGCGCCGGCGGCCGCAGCCCCGCCGCCGCGCTGCGGAGCTGCGCGGCGCCGCCGGCGGCTGCCGGGGCCGGCACCAGCAGGGCGCCCTACGGGGCCACAGACCCCTTCGCGTCTTGAAAAAAGCACGACCTCGGTGGCAACTCGTGGGAGCCTCCCATGCCATCTTGTCGGCTCTTGCGAGTCGGCGCTATGGTCGACGCTGACTCGACGCCAGATGGACGCTAGTAGACGCTAGCTGAAGCTAAGTCGGCGCCGTCTCACGACTCCTGGACGCTAATCGACGCCAGTCGACGCTACAGACGGGATTGAGAGGACATACAAGGCTCCCATGCTTTGCCACCGAACACGACGCTGCTGACACGTGCAAGGGAATAGGCTCAAGCGCAAGCGCTGCTTTCCCACGCCCAGCTGCAGAGGCTAGGAGAGGCTCCGCTGCGGTGGGACGTAATGCCGCCACCGCTGAGGCGGAAAGGCCAGGGTTTGGGGCGATTGCCCGCACCACGAACACACCTCACTGCACAAATGGGCTGAGCCTGAGCCGCTCCTCCGTTTTCCAGCCCCAGGAGGGGCAGGTCCCCGGGAAGGGGCCCCGTCCTCGAGCAGCTGGGGCCCACGGCATGACAGCATCACGGCGCCGGGGCTCTATATAGAGACCCGGACTCACGTCGGGCATGTCCCCCATACAGGCGGATGTCGGAAGAAAGCATGGAACTAGTCAACACATGCTAAACATACTCAGGTCGTCCCCAGACTATGCTTGTACTATGTTTGCATACTCCTCCTGTAGAGGGACAGGCCCGACGTACACCCAGGCCGCGACGTCCTGATCTTGTCATAACGTCGACCCCGCAGAGGAGGTCTCCCCCCTCCCCCCCAGGACCCCCAGGACCGGCTTCTCACCCTGCGTCCTCTCTGTGACGGCCCCGAGGCCCGGCGAGGGCCCCCAAAGGCGGAACATGGCGACACAGCTCCTGTCGCGCTTTTTCTTTCGGTCGGGCATGTCCCCCTACAGGCGGATTTGGACGACAAATTGAAAAAATAATGTAAACACATGTCCCCCAATTATCCAAAATATAACAAATCCTCCCCTGACTATTTTTTGAATGCTTTTGAATCGTCCTCCTGTAGAGGGACAGGTCCGACCCAAGCTTTTTTCTAGAGACAACAAAAAAAAGCCTAAACATAAACGCTTGGCCCTCCGACGGGATTTCTTGGATCCGCGCTGACCCCGACCTCCCCTCCCTGGCGCACGGAGCGTGCCAGGGGCGGCGCCGGAGGCGCCGCCGGGGGGGGCCCAGCGCGGATCCCAGAAGTCCGCGCGGCGCGCCACACGTTTGTGTACTCTTCTTCGACCCTCCTGGCCCGAGGGGGTCTGGGACCACGACGTCGGGGCTCGGGGCACCACGGCCTCCCCGCGGGCGCCGCCGCGGCGCGGCGGGCCGCGGCGGCTCGCCGCCGCCAGCCCGGCGAGCACCGCGGCGGGCCGCGCCGCGCGCCCGGCGCCGCGGGGCAGCCGCGGGCGGTGCGCCGCGCCGCGGGGCGCGGGGCGCCCCCCGGGAGCGGGGCGCCGCCGGGCGCGGCGGCGCGCCCGCCGGCAGGCACGGCCGGCGCGCCGCCATGGGCGGGGGGCGCTCGGGCCCTGCCGTGCAGACGGCGCGTCGGGCGAGGAGTCCGCGTCGGGCGAGGGCCTGCAGGCACCGAGCGGGCTCCTCTTTCCCATCCGCGGCCCCAGAGGGAGCTCCCGACCCCTTCCTGGGGGGTGGCTGCTGGTCCCCGATCCACTTTGGATGGTCCGCGGGCTCGGTAACGAGCCCCCGATGCCGGAATCCAGGAACAAAACGCCGGGTTGAAAAATCAGACCCTCGGATCTCTGGGGACAAGTCGAGTACCTCTGAGATCCGGCTGCTCTGGAAGATGTCTCAGGCGCCGCTGCTTTCTCAGAGTGCTCAGGAGCGCTCTGGGAGCGATCCTGGACGCTCTGCGGGACGGATTTCTCCTCGTCCTGGCCCCGCCCGATGCTGGGATGGCCCCGGTGGTTGCTGAGGGAACGCGGACTGTCAGGTCCGCGCGCTGGAAGCTGTTCGCACCCGGCGTTTTCGCCCGGCTGTGGGCCCCAGGACCCTTACAGATTTCGGTGGCAACTCGTGGGCGCCTCCCATGCCATCTTGTCGGCTCTTGCGAGTCGGCGCTAGTCGACGCTAAATCGACGCTAGTCGACGCTAAATCGACGGTAATAGACGCTATAGCCGACGCTAAATCGGCGCTATTTCATCGACTCCCGACGCTAATCGACGCTAGAGACGGAATTGCGAGGGTATACCAGGCTCCCAGGATTTGCTGCCGAAGCAGATAGATCTGGCTCGAAAAATGGCGCAGAATTCTGGAGATCACCGCCGCCCTTATCAGATGAGGACCCAGAAGCCTCCAGGGCACATTCCTGAACGAACGGCCCCACCGTAGAGGATTAGAAGTGGATGTGAAGGTGGGATCTACCCGGTCGAACCTAGCTTATAAGCGGGTTGCAATGCACTGCGTGGCTTAAAAAGATTAGGTGGCTCCGTAAGCCGCAGAGGGCACTTGCATCCAACTCAGAGTCTGGGTACGCCAGATATAATTGATCTGAACATCCACTGAATCAAAACTAAACACCTTATATCCCCTTAGCCCCCCCCCGCGGACATCCAAGTGGGCTTCCCCTGACATCTTGGCGTCGCAGTTTTCACAACGGGCGATTCTGCCTTGTTTCTGGCTCTGTGGCCCTCACAGGTCGACCCGTGTCGAACAAGGCAATAGAAAGATGGGGTCTGGGACTCTGGTAGGGCTTATTTCGCGATGTTGTATGTTCTTTGCAACGTCGGATCTCGAGGTCAGGCGGGCTGTTTTTTCAATGCCGCGGAGGTTTCCCTTTGGTTCGGCATCCATAGGGGGGGGGGGCCGCGTGTAGGAGGCATCGGGGCCACGAGACGAGGAACAGGGACTCCACAACTGTCCCACGGGAAATTGGTCAAGCTAAACCTCTGGGGCCCGCGGGTTGAAAGAATAACGAGCCGCCAGATCTGGCAAAGCAAATCTGGGAAGGTGCCCCTGACCACCTTGCCTTGGGCCCGAATGGCAACGCGAACGGGCACGCGCCGCCTACGCCATCAATGCCGTACCTGCTTCCCTGCCTCTCTGCCTCGCCACACCTCCAGAGACAGCCCTCTCCGCGAGCGGAGACGAAGCACCCCCCCCGGCGACTCGTGGGGGCCCCTGGCAAACACCGGCACCTCATCTGATCGAAAACGGATGTGACCGCTGGTGCGTAGTGTGCAGGGAATGCTAGAATTAGGTCGGGCCTGTCCCCCATACAGGCGGATTTTGGACGCAAAATGAAAAATATTAGAACAATGCTCCCAAATAGTCAAACATATTCAAAAAATCGTCCCCAGACTATTTTTGACTATTTTTGAACATTCCCCCTGTAAGGGGGAAGTGCCCGACTTCATGCTGGAGGAAGAGGAGAACAACTACAGAACCCTAGACTTTCGGAGCTCCGCGCCGATGTCTCCCGCCGGCGCCGCCAGTGGGGCCCAGCGCCGCTCCAAGAAATCCGAGCGGATCGCCGAAAGTTCATGACTATGCCGTTGGCTGCGATGCCTGCTGCGTAAGGTCGAAGACATGGAGCCCTCGTCGCTCCAGGGGGGTAGTCCTGTGGCGTGGGTGTGGCGTTCCGGGGCTTCCACCCCGCGAGCGCCCCGACCTCCTGCGGCGTTGGACTCCAACACGTCATATCGACGACGTCAGACGAGAACACCCTCAAATGGCCAAAGAGCTGGAGGAGGAAGAGGAGGAGGACGAGGAGGGAAGGAGGTGGAGGAGGAGGAGGAGGGGGTGGAGGAGGAGGGAGGAGGAGGGAGGAGGAGGAGAGGGGCACGCGTGAGGGCACGCGTCGCACTGGTGATCGAAGACGCCCACGGCGAATCACCGCCGCCCCTTCTTTCTGGAAGCGCCTGTGTGGCCGAGAGCTGCGGCCACAGCTCGGCCAAGCTATCAGACTGTCTGTTCCCCCACCCGTTGTGAAAACCTTTCGGGGAACACGCTGGGATACATAATAATACAAATAGTATATTAACAACATCTTACGAGTAATACATATAAGCAAATTAATATTTATACTAATAAACATCAGAAGAATAATAAGAAGAAGAGGCGGAGTAAACGGGGGAACACATAGGAGACGGAGAAGGAGGCATCTTGGGTGTCCCTTGGGGCATTATTTGGGCCTCCTGGGAGCTTCCTGGGGGCCTCTTGGACGCCTCATGGGGGCTTCCTTGGGCCTCTTGGGGGCCTTTGGAACATTTTTGCCTTCTCTCTCCTCCCTCCTCCCTCCTCCCTCCGTCCTTTCTCCTCCCCTTCCTCATCCTCCTCCTCCTCCTCCTCCTCCTCGTCCTCCTCCTCCTCCGCTTCCTCCTCCTCCTTCTCCTCCTCCCCCTCCCCTTCCTCCTCCTTTCCCTCCCTCTCCTCATCCTCCTCCTCCTCCTCCTCCTTTTCCTCCTCCTCCTCCTCCTTCTCCTCCTCCTCCTCCTCCTCCTTTTCCTCCTCCTCCCCTCCCCTTCCGCTCCTTCTCTCTCCTCCTCCTCCTCCTCTCCTCCTCCTCCTCTTCCTCCTCCTCCACTTCCTCCTCCTCCTCCTCCTCCTCTTCCCTCCCCTCCTTCTCCGCCTCCCTTTCCACCTCCTCCTGCTCCTCCTGCTCCTCCTCTTTCTCTTTGTCCTTGTCCTCCTCCTCCTCCTCGTCCTCCTCTTCCTCCCCCTCCTTCACCTCCTCCTCCTCCTCTTCTTCCCCCTCTGCGAAGCGAAGCTTCACACGCAGCTCTCTCTTTCCACCTCGCAGCTGGCTATGTTCCCGCCAGCAACCCTCGGTCTCCGGACGTCCTTCGACGTCTCGCCACACGCAGCACGCCACGGAACACTCTGGCAGGCGAGCTATGGATAGATGGGCATGGTATGGTATTGGGCTCCTGAATAGAAGGTCGAAGAAAGGTGGGGCCTCTCCAGACCCTTGGATCCTGCTGGTTCTCGGCAAAGGCCTGTAACCCAAACGGCTGTGGATTGAGCGAATCCAGAGGCAATCTGACATTCAGATCGGAAGATCGGCACCGACCCTGAAACACCTTCGCTCAAAATCCACAGTTGGACGAAGGGGCAGTCATCCAAGTCTGGGAAAACTCACCCCAGAGATTTAAGCGGAAATCGAGTATCTGCACAACCTCTAAAGCTGAAATCCAGAATCCTTTTCGTTTCTTAGCCGATGGAGCATCTGATCATACACGAATCACCACCAGCACGCGTTGCTAAACAAATCTAGCTGCCAACGCTCGTGGCCCTTAGTCAAACGATTCGCCAACATCGCATCACTCTGCACCCATCTCACTTGGCATTCGCACGCCATGATACCGTCTCTCAATGCTAACAGTTCCAGTCCAGTTCGAAACTCTTTTCCGCCCATAAACTTCTGGGTGCAACGCAAACGATCGTAGAGGTCCTTGGCATCGGCAGCCCAAACTCCTGGGGTCCGCTTCACCTGCGACCATGGGTCTCGAAGGTCGGGCCGCCATCCAGAAAAACTTTGAAAGCAGAAGCCGCACATACATAACCTTGTCGTCCGTTTTGACTGTGGCTGAAACTTCTGCGGCCGGCGGAGATCTGCAGATTCGCTCCACATTGCCCGACCGCCAACTCATGAGATGCTCCGGTCTCCTCGCCCGACATGAACGACGACGGCGCGACTCCGATGATCCTGCCCTCCGTTGACTTTCCGTCGATCTTATTGGCGAACGCCGCGTCACCCCAGCCAGCAACAGCCAGCTGGTCCTCACTCCTGAATGAGAAAATCTCCCAGCAACGTCCACCGAACACCCTCGCCCTGCGGCTCAGCTTGTTGACTTGAATCAAACCCTCGACCGTGCGCGACTCTGTCTTGCTCTGCAGTAAATTAAATTCCGCGAGAATGTCTGGACCCGTCTGTGTGCCTTTCCACTGCAGGCTCCCGGTGGCCACTCTGAACTGACTCTTCTCGGATTCCGTCACCGATGCTGAGATAAGTTTCCGGCGTTCAGGCAGGATCTCAATCTCCCCGATCTGTTCCATGTGCATCTTCTGGAACTGAAAACTCCAGTCTGCCTTTTGTGTGATGTCCACGCCGCACGGTGCGAACGTCCCGTGCTCCCACTCGGTCCACCTGAAAGCCCCCATGATATGCTTGTTCGCCTTGGCCCAGAGCTCATCGTCGTCACGTCCAGCGAACAAAATGTCATGTACATGGGATGGTGCCATGCCGCGTGCGTGCTCAGGTTGACCAGAGGCACCAGGCGTCGTAAGAATTCACACGCACGGATCTGATTTCAGCTGCCTCCACGTCAGTTCCAGTAGCTTCTCATTCGCTGCCTGGTGCCGTGCCCTCGGCACCTGAACCAGCCCATCGGCAGACTTCTTGAGGGGGGCAACCCTCCCCTGTCGAAACCCAGGCAACTCGACGAAGAAATGCCTGCCCAGCCGTTCTCGTCGCAGTCGGCGCGTGCGACTCCTCCGTAGTTAGGTCGGGGTCCTGGAAGCCCAGCATCACCAGTCTCGCCTTCGCTTCTTCCCGCCAGGTTCGGCAGGGTCGATCTTCCACGTCAGGGCCCAGGGAAGCCGCATCGTCCAGCCCGCCGGTGCCCGCGCATGTTCTGGTGGCGCTTCCAGCGCCGCGTCCTTGACCCACTCCTGCGCCTCCTTCGTCTTGGCCTTCCTGAACTTACCCAGGCCCTCTGCAGATAGACGTCGCTCCTTTACCTCAGCACGTTGGCGACGAAGTTGTGTGGCCACATGCGCGTGGAGATCTCGAAACGCCGATCCACTCCGAGCTCCTTCGGGCATGGTGATCTCCACCTCCACGCGTTCTCCTTCAGGCTCCAGTGGCGCTCTTTCACCTCCGGCAGTTGCTCCTTCTCCTCATGTCGCTTCTGCCTCTCCGATCGCTGCTTGCTGTGCTGGGGCACCGGTGGAGCCTCCTGAGGTAGGCCTTGCCACAAATGTGGCGATGTCCTCGTAGAGGGTCTCAGGAAGTGGTTAGGAGGTCTCGCTGGGGTCGCTGGACAAGTATATGCCTGCGAACTCGGACTTCCTCTCGTCATCGCCGGATCTGTCTTCATCATCTTCGTCTTCTGATCCTGCTCCTCTGTACTGCGCTTACCCCGCAAGCGGTGCTGTTGCTGCGTCCTCGTAGTCCTTGTCAGTCGGAACGAGACGCGGATCATCCGCCCAAGTCCTCAACCTGCCCAGGTCGGAGATTGCTTGTCATGTCGTTGAAAGTCCACGGCAGCTCAGTTCGTGAATGATATCATGCTCATCTCCCTCCCGATCAGAGGCATCTCTGAGTTGGGGTGGGTTACGTCTTATGAGCCGATCGCATGCGTAGAGCCATGCTCGGGGTCATGCGATGAACGGTCTACCAATCGGTCTAGCCAATGCCCCAGCAGGTCCCTCGGGGCAATGCGATGAACAGCCTCGCCGTTACGATGAACGGTCTAGCCAATGCCCCAGCAGGTCCATAGAATCTCTCAATCTTAGAACTGCTCTTCGGGTTCCTGAAACAGTACACAAGAATCCCGGGAGGAAAAACCTGCAGTTTCCTCGACCTGGGATGCGATGCTCGACGGGCCCGTTCTGAATATACCAATCGAAGATATGCCTCCTGTGCCTTTCTCATGGGCTCGAAATTATCCCCGAACTCAGCACCCGCCGCTTCGGACACCAGCGCGGGGAGGTTCGCCGGGACATCGGGAAGCTCGACGCAGGAACCATCCAGGTCAGGAGATCTGCCTCAAGCCACCCTTGGTGGTGAGAAGCCTCGGTGGCGATCGAAATCGTTATATGCGGCCATGGCCCTGGCCAAATATTCCTCGCGCGATCTGCCGGGCTGGTCCTTCGCGATGGTCACCATGGTGTCCTTGATCCGGCTGATGAGACGCGCGACCCCGCCGGTCTGCCAGTGGGCCTGCCCAGGGATCGGGCCCATCTGGATGTCGTTGCTCTCGGGGCCCTCCCGAATCGTCCTGCTCATCCACGCCCCTTCAGAATCCACCTGAAACGCGCGCGGCCTGCCAAAGTATGAGCTCCACCTGTTCCAAACCGAATTCTCATACTCCTCCGCCGTCGCGTTCCGGCTCGTGACCATCTTGAAGAGAGCGCGTCCAATGCCGGGCCTGCTGCTCATGTCCAGGTAGAGCACCAGCTCGTAATTCTCCAGCGTGCTCCATTCTTCCCGCTCGGCCAGGATCGCTCTGAAGCGCAGCCCACTCCTAGGGAACTTCGTCAGCTGAGCCCACAGGTCGTGGTGGAGCACTTCCGCCTCTAGTCGCACACCGAACATCTCGTATTCTTTACTTGCTCCACTATCTTTCTATCAGCACCTTTCGCAGCTAACGACCTGGCCACCTGGGGATGAGGACATTGACCGCATGCCGCATGTATCCGCCTGGCAGGTCTCAACTTTCCTCAGCGTGGTCTCGTCTATGACTGCCTCCAATGCCGTCAGCGCGTAGGATATCCCCGATCCGCCCCCCGCTCCGTGAGATTCGACGAACCTCTTGATCACCTGCATATCCTGCTCCTCAAGCATGCCGCGCACCGCTCTCCGACATAACTCTTCAGGGTAATAAGCCGACGCGGCCCTCCGAGCACCTCCGGCGCATGGCGTGTGTGTGTGTGTGCGTGTATGTCGCCCTGCACACCTGACGGCCAGTCGTTGTCGTGCTCTCGGCGATGATGACCAGATCTCCCAAGGCCCCATCATAGGTGGACCGGCATCCGTGGCCTTCACTCCGAACATGCATCCGTCAAATATCACCGATTGTATCTCCGTTTCTCTAAATGTGTGCTTCAAATCGGGCCACTGGCACGGTGAAAGGTCTCTCGGCCACTCCCGGCGACCATGGCCCTGATCTGCCACCTGATCCATGACGAGGATAAGACAATTATGAACGATAGTCTTCGGCCTCTTCCGGCCGTGTAAGACCCGCGTCTCAACGTCCGCCATATTCGCATTGATATCCTGATTGCCGCTCCAAGGCCCACAAGGTAGAACGCCAGAGATGGATGGGTCGTAGTCGACTGCGCTCGGCACGCGCTCGCGGCAAACCTCCAGTGGCCGATGGATCCAAACCGTCCCAACCACTATTCGCACTGCGCTGTCCTTACCTGACTCCTGCTGCATGAATGTAGTTAGGCCCGACGCTGGTGGGCAACAGACCTCCGTCTAGCTATGCTCTAGCAGTGGCCGTCAGGTAAAGCCACTCCAGCGCCGTGCTCTTGTCCAGGTGCCCCGCCAGCAAAGTCGCCTGGGAGCTCGTGAGGTCCTGCAGCGGCCCTTGCCAGCCGGCCCAAGTGGGCCTGCCGTCCATGGCCCCATCCTCGACCTTCTGCGCCCTGGTAGTCAGCGCCGTCATTTGATTTTTTCTTCTCCCCCAACAGGTCGATGATCTGCTGCTGCTTGGCTGTCTGGTCCATCTACGTGGGCTCCTCCGTGCATGACCTCTGGGCGCGCAGCTTCTTCCCCTTCGGAACCTCCTCCTCCTTCGCCGTGGACCAAGAAGCGTCCATCCTGCCCTGTTCGGGCTTCGGATGCTCGAACTTGGGCATGTTCATCGTGCCATCCGGCGTGATGCCCTTGGATACGATCCAGTCGGTCAGCTCCCTGACGCGCCGAACCTGCATGCTCGCCAGCCAGCCCGCGCACTCCCTCTCGTGCTCCCAGAGGTATAGGCAGGTCCTGCCTCTGTGTCGTCCAGAAGGGACGACCTCCGAAGCGCTCACCTGCACGTCCTTCTTCTCGAACTTCTCGACGATCAAAAAATCTGCAAGTCGCCCTAGGTCTCGCGACCCGTGAGGGCGCGCCCTGGGCCATGAGGATCAGCTCCCCTGTCTTCTTGTGGAGTGATGGTGCCTCGACGCTGACTGGCATTGCCTTGTGTATCTGACGTAGGCGAGCCCGCGGCATCTCGACCGTCATGTCATGGCCGCCCCGCAGACATAGCTCCCGTTGGAGCTCCGCCCCCCCCGCGCATCGTCGAGGTGCGTGGGCGCGAGAACGCCCGGAGAAACGCGACCCTCCTGTCCGACGCCCTGAGGCCTTGAAAGATCTTGAGCCGCCATCCGAAAACAAAGCATATCGATAGACCATGCTGGATTCAAAACCGCGTCGCCGAGCATTTCAGGATGTTCCGAAACGCCCTCCCTCTGAGACACTTGCTCTGAGAACCCCGGGTCCAGGGTGACCTGGACTTTCGAGTCGCTCGCGTGCGCTGAGTGCCCGAAGACGTAGGCCATGAACCTCTCCCCGTAATCAGCGATCTCGCGGGCGCCCCCGTAGACCCCCTGGAAGCCCATCTCGAACACGTTGACAAAGAGTCGCCTCCAGGAATCCTCCGAGGTGTTCCTGGCGTCGGCCCCGTGGAGCCCGACTGTCTTCCAAGCCCCTGTTGGGCCCCCGCCGTCGTCCAGAATGCCGTCTCGGCCCGCCGCCGTCAGATGCCGGACTGGATGGCGGGCGCGACAACTAAAGAGCGGGCGATTAGCAATTAACCGCTGGCGCCATCGCGCCTGGGTTCTCCGCGGCGTGCATCTGCGCCGGCCCGGCAAGGGCTGCCGCGCCCCGAATCAAGATGCGATCAGCCGGCCTCTCAGCGGCCTAGCCGCCGCCCAGCGGGTCGCGCGGCAAGTCGATGAGGAGGTGGCCAGTGCGAGACCTCTGGGAAGTAATCAGCCTCTTGCGGTCGGTCTCCTTAAAGATGCCGATGCCCGAATGAATTCAGCATTCAGTGAAGGGATGCCCGGGGCGTCCGCCGCGCGCGCCCGAGAGCTCACGCAGGTGCCCTGGACCAGTTGCTTGAAAGTGGCCCGCTCGCTTGACCTCGCCGTGCCCGAACTTGCATGCTGGCCGGTCGTTCAAGTCCACCCGCATCGGCGGATGGCCCCTCGCGATCAAGATCTCGTTCAGGTTCTCAATCGCCTCCGCGCCGCCGATTGTCTTCGTGGCCCCGCGGTCCACAATGCCATGGCCTGTCTCCGTGGTATGGGGCACGGTGTGCGACATCTTCACCTCCGGGTGATCGAGATCGATGGTGTTCCCGACATCCTGGACGCCCATCTGGTCATCGTCATCTGCGGAGCAGGCAAGCTCGCACATCCGGATGAAGCCGTTGAAACGTTCTCCGCCATCTGCCGGACGAGAACCTCTAGAATTCCGTCACCCTTGTCAGGGCAGGCCCCAGCGCGATGTCCTCCACCGCGCTTGAGGCACGGTCCCAGACGCCCGCCGCTGCGACGATGGCCATTGCCTCCGAAGACATTCGGGCCCGTCCTGTGTCTGTTGATCTGTTGCCGGGCGTCCTGCAGTCGTCGCTGACTAGCCTGAGACTGCACCCATGCTTCCCCTTCTTCCTACCTCGCGATGACGTGCGCATTGTCGTTACCTTCGCCGTCGCCTTCCTCCTCAATGGGCTCTGGCGCCAACGCGACATCCTGACTCTCCTCAGCATTCCAGCTCTGCGCATCCTCATCGTAGAACGCTGCTACAGCCACCTGCTGACGTATAAACTTTGACTTTCGGTCGTCCCGATCCTTTAGGTTCTCGTCGCTCGGCCACTGCGTCCGCAGTGCCCCTTCTACGCTCTCCGCCGTGAACTCTCCGCGACAGGATCCAATCATCGCAGCGATCTCGACACCGTCCAATCCAGCTCGATGCAGTAGATACCAGCCGCGCACGATACTAGGAAGCACCTCCGGCAGGTCCCGTGTCGGAAACGTGTTTTGGTTTCCGATGTCATATCCATGTTTCCACCACTGTTGCGACCACCGACCATGCTGTCGCCACGAACTGTCCTTCGGCGCCTCCCAATCACGAGCGCCATCGAGCTCCGACCAGCCGGGGGCCGCACAAATACCTGTCCTCCCACTCGGTGCCATCAACGTATTTCATCACATGTTGTTGGTATCGTTCCCACGTTCCAGCACTTCCGCTCCTTGCCCGCATCCTGACCTGTTTGTCCTCCATGGAGCAAACACCTGCTCCGCTACCATGCGAAGCGAAGCATCACATGCAGCTCTCCCTTTCCACCTCGCAGCTGGCTACGTTCCCGCTAACAGTCCTCAGTCTCCGGACGTCCTTCGACGTCTCGTCACACGCAGCACGCCACGGCACACTCTGGGAGGTGAGATATTGAGAAACGGAAATGGCAGAGTATTGGGCTTTCGAATAGAAGGTAAGAGAAATGTGGGGCCTCTCCAGGGCCTGGGACCCTGCTGGTCCTCAGCAAAGGCCTGTGACCAAAAATGCTGTGGACTGAACGAATTTAGAAGCAATCTGACATACAGATCAGAAGATCGACGCCCTCCTCCTCCTCCTCCTCCTCCTCCTTTTCCTCCTCCTCCTCCTCCCCTTCGTCCTCCTCCTCCTCCTCCTCCTCCTCCTCCTCCTCCTCCTCCTCCTCCTCCCCCTCGTCCTCCCCCTCCCTCCCCCCTCCTCCTTCCTTCCTCCTCCCTCCTCCTCCTCCTCCTCCTCCTCCTCGTCCTCCCCCTCCTCCTCTTCCTTATCCTCCCCCTCCCTGTCCTACCTAGGGTAGGCAGTGGTGGTGGATGAGGCGGCCCCTCGTGGGCCTCCCTCCCGCAAGTCCCCCTCCGGCCTCACCGTCCCGCGTGCACGATCAGGCAGCGATGCGTGCTTGACTGCCTACCAGACCACCCCAACCCAACCCGAAGATCCGAATTTGACCCGAATTTCGGGTTGGGGGGGGTACGGGTTCCACGTGTTTTTTCAACGTTCCCCGACCCCCCCCAACTGGAAATGGAGGGCAAATTGAGGCCTTCGGGTTAGGTTGGGGTGGTTTGGTAGATGGTGAGTGCTGGGGCGAGGGCCAAGGGCGGGCCAGGGGGGCCCAGCGCCGATCCAAGAACTCCGAGCGGACCGCCGAAAGTTCATGATTATGCCGTTGGCTGCGATGCTTGATGCGTCAGGTCGGAGACACGGTGCGCTCGTCGCTCCGGAGGGGGGGCCAGGGGCGGGCCATGGGGGGTGAGGGGGGGGGGGGGCGAACGACGACGACCACGACGAAAGCAAAGGGCTCCGAATTTTAGGACGACGCCGACAACGACGACGACGACGACGACGACAACGACGACGACGACGACGACGGTGGCGGCGGCGGCGGCGGCGGCAGCGACGGCGGCAATGCAGCTGCGCAAGAGAATACACAATTAGCGCAGTGCGCGCGGGGGGGGGGGGAACGGAAGGTTGCTGGCGATGATGAGGAGGATGGCGACAGAGTGGAGAAAGATAATGAGTACGACGACAGCGGCGCCCCCGCCTGACATCGGCTCGAAGCCAGCAGGGATCTCGAGGTGCATGAGCGAGAAGGCGGCCGCGGCAGCCCCCGCGCCTCGTTGTCGTCGCCGTGCCATCGTCGGAGCAAGAGGGGAAATGCAGAAGGGATGGACACAGTGCGCATCCGACAAGTCATCCTCGCGGCAGACGAGAGATGGCGAAGACGGAGGCGAGGACCACGTTGACGACGAGGTCGACAACGACGACGACGACGACGACAGCCCCCAGAGGCCACCCTGGCGGCCTCAAGGAGGTCCCTGGACGCCTCAAGCAGGCCTCTGGAGGCCCGCGACAGCTTCAAGGTGCCCGCAGCAC